GGATGTCTGCCCGCGTCGGCATGCGTGGTACCTGCCTATGGGCGGGCAAGCCTCAGCCACTGTATTGGCCCTCCCGTGACGAGGGGCAAAAGCGTGGCTGGGGGGTGCGGCCTGCGGGCACGGCTCAAGACGTGCACCGGCTAGCCACCTTGGGCACGGGGGCCTGTGAGGTCGGGCCACTTTGCCCATGCGCGGAAACACGCGCCGTGTGCCCCGCACGGCGACGTGGGGTGACCTGTGTCCCCTGGTGCTCGTAGAGCCAGGGGGGCATGGGGGCCGCCCGCCTACAGCGGGCTGGTGGCGCACATCGCGGTCTACGTGGTGAGCCTGGCGCCCCTTCTTTTTCCCAACCATCCTGTGGTGTTGGTGAACAGACGGTCTCCGCGTTCATTCCTTCCTCCTCCTCTCTCCTCCCTCCTCTCTGCGTTTCACCCACCCAGCACAGCGCTTCGTAGCCCCATTGGGAGCTCCACCGAAGGCTCCAGTGGGACCGCCCGCATGCGTTACCCACCCCCATTTCGGCACACCCCTCACACGATTCGTGGCCCCATAGGGAGCTCCACCGAAGGCCCCAGTGCCACCGCCCGCATGCGTTACCCACACCCATTTCGTCACACCCCTCACACGTTTCGTGGCCCCATATGGAGCTCCACCGAAGGCGCCAGCGCCACCGCCCGCATGCGTTGCCCTCCCCCACTTCGGCACACCCCTCACACGTTCCGTGGCCCCATGGGGAGCGAAGGCGCCAGTGCCACCGCCCGCATGCGTCACCCACCCCCATGTCGCCACACCCCTCACACGTTCCATGGCCTCATAGGGAGCTCCACCGAAGGAGGGCGAGGACAATAGGTCTAATGCTTTCGGGCTTGCCTATCATCTGTGCGTCCGTGTCATCTGGGTCGTTGCCCTTTGCGAGGAAAACGGCCGCGCCCCGTTTAAACTCCCCAGGGAGGTCGCCCTCCTCGAGCAGGGCGGAACACAGACGGCGCAGGGAGTCGGCGGCTGCTGCCCCCCTTCTGCGCAACGGGCGCACGGGGCGCGCGTCGGGCCCGCTGCGCGACTCCCCCGTCCGCGAAATCAACTCTCCAAATTCAGGACGCCCCAGTTCTATGTCGGGCTTGTCCCCTACGGGGGGATATTCGACGAAAAATAAAAAACACCCAAACAATATCCCAAGAAGATAAGCGATACCCCCAAAATAGTCCCGGGATTATTTTTGGATTATTATTTGACTATTTTTGAGGTAAGTTTTATGTTTCGTCGAAAATCCCCCTGTAGGGGGACAGGCCCCACTTAACCCCAGTTCCAAAACGAAAGGTCGGGGCGAGGACGGGTGGAATCCCTCGGAAGTTGTCGGCCCGCGTCAGAACCTGGAGCGCCGCTGTGCACTCTGCCCCGGCGCAAAGCAAAATGCGCGGCGACTGGCCCGGCGATGGCCGCGCCAGTCGGGTCCGAGACGCCCGGGAGAGACGACCTGCGATGGCCCCCCCCCGCGCGGATAGGCATCGGTGCACTTTGGCTTGGCGCCTTGTTCGCGCTGGCCCGAGATTCCCGACGCGGGCCGCTGATCAACATCGCCCCTTGCTTATGTTGCATCCTCGGGGGACCTTGTCTGTCCCTTCGCGGCCCTGTCCGCGTCGAATCTGTGTCGAACCCATGTCGGACGCGTCGGATCCGTGTCGAATCCGTGTCGAATCCGTCCAATCCACGCCAAATCCGCGTCGAGTCCGCATCGAGCACGCGTCGGCCCCCCAAAAAAGACACCAATTTTTGGGACAGGCAAGGTCCCCCGAAGATGCAACATAAACTTGCTGCTGGATGTGCTCGAGGTTCAGCTCGTTGGGGTCGGCGTGAAACTCTCGCGCGCCCAACCGCGCGCCTCTGGAGCGCGGGCGCGCGAACCTGGCGAGGGGCGGGCAGGCCAGCAGGGCCCCGGCGGTGGGCCGGAGCTGGCCGCGCAGGGCGCCGCGAAGAGCAGACGAAGACCAGGCAATCTCTTTCTCGGGGTACGCGTTGGCCTGCTCAACGCTGCGTTGGAGAGCGTTCTTTCGGGGATGGGCAGACCCCCCTTTTTAGTAAAGCGTGGTTTAGTGAGAACGACCTGAGGCCCAAACCTGGCGGGCGCAAGCCTAGGAACGAACGGCCACGGCGCCCTCTCGAGAACCGAGAGCGGACAATTCACGAATCGACGTGTCACTGTTGGGGGTTCTGTCCATCCCCGACTCTTCCTCGGGGTACCCGTTGGCCTGCTCCACGCTGCGTCGGAGAGCGCTCCTGCTGGCTCGAGCGAGTGCATCTTGCACCTGGGAGCGTTGGGCGCGGGGGTCGGGATCGAGCGGGCCGACGCCATCCTTGAGCTCCCGCTCGCGCTGCGGGTTGATGCGGGCCTGGGCACCTGGGGGGGGGGAACTCCGAAGCCCATCTTGCCACCGAGAGATAACTCGGGGGTGGACAGAACCCCCAACAATGACACGTCGATTAGTGAATTGTCCGCTTTCGGTTCTCGAGAGGGCGCCGTGGCCTTTATTTTCCAGGCTTGCGCCCGCCAGGTTTGGGCCTCAGGTCGTTTTCACTAAACCACGCTATACTAAAGGGGGGTCTGTCCATCCCCGAATAACATTAGACATGTGACATGCCGAGGTGTGGTCAGAGGTAGCCGACTTCGGAGATCGGGATGGGGGCAAGGGCCTTTGGAGCGGACCTCGAGGAGAACGGCGCTAAATGTGAATATTCGGTCGATGCGACCCCTCTGCGCAACCTTCGGGGCGCCCAGAATCTCTCGCGCGGCGCGGCGCGCGGAGGTCTGCTCCACCTCGCAGAGATTACCGACATGCAGCGAGAAAAAGACGGCGGCATCGTGGCTAGAAAAAGTCGACCACCCCACCGGCGTGGAATGAGACTCCCCCCCGGGGCCCAGACAGCTGAAGCCCCCGCGCGCGGGGCCAGCGACGGCGCGCGGGGGGGGGGCGACGGAGGACCGCGAGGAAAACACAGAGGGATCAAGATGGGCACTGGGAACTTGGAGAGAATCGCTGTCGCCGGCAAGCGGGAGGGCCCGAATTTGGCCCAGGACGAGCTCGGCATGCCGGCCGTGCTCGAAAGGAGCTCGCGACGCAGGGTGGAGAAAGATGAGAACGCCCCCAGTGGCCGCGTCTTCGGAGAACGACCCAATCCACCAAGAGTCACAGACCCCGGAGCAGACTCTCTGAAGATATAGATAAGATTCTCTGGTCTCCTGGATGCCCGCGTCATGGCGCTTCTGAATGCAAGATACGAGGCGTGGGAAATTATCATTGACGGTGACCAGGCGCGACGCAAGTCCTCCAAGGAGTGATCGAGCACTCCGCGACGCACTGCTGAGATGCGTCGTGCATCTGTATGGAGAATGGGTCCAGGAGCCAGGGGCGGGTCGGAAGCGCTGGGGCCAGCCGCGGACGGAAACCTGGAAATTCCACTAGACGAGGATGGCCAAGACGAGGAGGACGCCTCAGAAGACGAGCCTGCGTGCGCGCGACATGGGATCCTCATGCCTGGCGAGGCCGTATGCTGACAGGCGCGTGCAGTCCCCTGGCTGCTCCTGGCAGCGACGACGATGGCAGCGGCCTGATCGGTGGAGATGCTGAACTGCGTGGTGCCAGATGCGACGAAGACCATCTCGAACTGCCCGAAGTCGCCGCCCTTCGCAGCGAAAGGCTAGTGGATGACGTCGCCGACTGCGATGAACAAGATGCCGCGGAAGCCGTTGACGCCATGCTTGCACGGACGGTCGTTCCATGAACCGACTTGCCGAAGATGCTGACTGACTGCTTGTCGCACCCTGCCGAAGACATGGATCTTCTGCCGAACAGAGTTGGGTGCGTCCTTCGAGCGGCGGAGCGTGACAGTGGTGCAGGAGACAGAGCCGACCCAGATGATGCTGGGGACGCGGCCGTGGTCGACGAACGCGGTGGCGTCGAGAGAACTGGCGTACGAGATCGATTAGCTCTTGGCGAGGTTGTGCGCCATGATGTAGATGTCTGTTGAGCGGATATGGTATTGCAAGCGCGCGAGGAGGTTGCGGCCGTGAGCTTCCATGGTCGTTGCCGGCATGCGTCGAGTGAAGCCGCCGATCCAGGCCTTGCATGGGTCGCGCTCATCTCCTTGCCGCGTCTGGGCGCTGCTGGGTGGGGCGGAAAGCCTGCGCCTCGTCGCGGGGGGCCCACCAGACGAACTGGAAACTTATGCTGCCGAAGATGCTGCTGTCGACGCGACTGCTGCCATGTGCTTCTCCATGTCTGTTCGGAGGACTGCCCGTGCGCCAGGTCTCGGATGATGCACGCATGTTACCCTCGAGCTGCGCGAGCCTGGAGCTGATCTTCTGCATGGCTGAGTCCTGGGCTGAGAGTGTCTTGCGTACTGCCTGGGGGCTCGGGAGCGTGGTCTCGATGCTGGACAAACGACTCGTGGATGCCGCCAAGCTGCCCGAGTATCTGGCGGATGTAGTCGCCGCCCGCCTCCAGGGCAGGAGACTGGGGAGAAAAAAGGAAGTGCCCGCCCAAGCTTGGCTCCCGGGATCGCTACTTCAAGAAGAGCTGCCGCTCCCAAGTGGGGCCGGTCCCCGTCTTGAGCCACAATGGCAGCAGAGGGGGGGGAAGAGGAGGAGGAGGAGGAGGAGGAGGAGGAGGATGAGGAGGAGGAGGAGGTAAGGTTGCGGAGGAGGAGGAGGAGGGAGGAGGAGGAGGCAGGAGGAGGGGGAGGAAGAGGTGGAGGAGGAGGAGGAGGGAGGAGGGGAGGAGGCGGAGGAGGGGTAGTGGGAAGGAGGAGGAGGAGGAGGGGAGGAGGAGGAGGAGGAGGAGGAGGGGGAGGAGGAGGGGGAGGAGGAGGACGAGGAGGAGGAGGAGGAAGAGGAGGAGGCCGGGGCGGAGCGAGGAAGCGAGGGGGCCCGCGGGCGCGGGGAGGCCCGCGGGCGCGGGGAGGGCCGCGGGCGCGGGGACCCCGTCCTCGGCGGGGGGGGGGGGGTCCTGCAGCCGAGGACGACGAAGGCCACCGGGTTGAGCAGCCAGGGCGCGGCGAAGGTGCACCTCCTGGGCGGCGGCCAGCTTTCAACTGGGGCGCTTTTGTGTCTGAGCTCTGCCCTCTCCACGGCCACACCACTCGAGCAGGGGCGGCCGGATGGCGCTGCAGACGGCTCGGACGAGGACGGAGCGCGCAGGCCGCCCAGCGCAGAGCTGCACGAGCGGACGATGCACGCGTGCGGCGGCGGGCACCGCGGCAGCGACAGCAACACCCCGCGGGCACCGCCTCCGCGCGGCGCGCGCCGTGCGGGCAGGCGCCTCTGCGCGCCAAGTAGGCGACTCGGCCTGCGACTACCTCACCCAGCCCGGGAGAACCTCAGTCTCCAAGTTTGACGTCCAGGGCGAAGGCACCAAACGGAGTTTTTTTTCGTGTCCCCGCCACCACCTGCGCCACTCCCAATGCAGACGGCACTGCTGCGCCACGCCACGCCTCGGGTACCAGGCGCGCCGCGCACCCAGCGACAGCAGAGGGAATGTAGGATCATTCGGCGTCCTTGCTGAAACAGCTCTAGCGGTACAACGGCCGAGATGGATGGAAGGGGCTGAGGCAAGGATGCCAAACGGAGTCAGGGCAAGAGGGGGGGGGAGCAATTCTGAAGGGAGGGGGGGCAGGCACAGGCAGGGGACTGCCAGAAGGAACGACAGGTCAGGAGCGGAGGGTTTTTTCTGGCCACGGCACGGCCACGAGCAGGTGCACCGACCAAAGGAACGGCCCGAGCACCCGAAACCTTCCTGAGTCAAACGTGTTTTTTATGTCAGCTCCTTGGGGGAAATGATGCAGGAAAAATGGATCCGTCTGAGGGTCTCAGATGGCCCCGCACTGGTTCCGGCTAGAACGGCGGGCGGCCAAGTTGGGTGTCGTTTTCGGGCCCCGGGACAATGAAGACCGGATCTGGGGCGAAAACCTGACCCCGCGGGAGGGGTTTGCGCGGAGTTCTCCCGACCGATCTTCCAGGGTCACGAACATGTCTCACCCCACGGCCGCCTCCAAAGGTAAGGTTCCCATTGATTATTGTAAGACCCTGGGAGGCCAAAGTAAGCTTGCGTGCGCGAGGCTGGCGTATGGGGTCGTTGGGCGTAAGACGCGCACGTTCGCATCATGCGCGCCAATCCTCTTGAGCACGTCGAAAAGAGTGAGTTCACCCGAATGAGTTTCGCGCGGTGGTGCCTGCAGACGATTTATTAGTAACCCAAGGGTGAGCGGAGGTGAGGCAGCAGCGAAAAAGCCAGTCTGGGCGTCTCTGCCCTGCGCCTGCTTCGGAGTTCGAGGCGCTGTGTCACCTGCCTCCGAGGCTGAACCCTCGGAGCCGTTCGCAGGAGGCCCTCTCCGAAGGCCCCGACCCAGGGGGGATCGGCCTCCTCGAGGCCACGAAGTTGCTACCAGTAGCGCGCGAATTCGGGGTTCACTGCGAGGACGGGGGGGTTCAATGCGAGGAGGAGGAGGAGGAGGAGGAGGAGGAGGAGGAGGAGGAAGAGGAGGAGGAGGAGGAGAGGAGGAGGAGGAGGAGGAGGAGGAGGAGGAGAAGGAGGAGGAGGAGGAGGAGAAGGAGGAGGAGGAGGGGGTCCCTCCATGCACCCCAGAGATCCCCCAGGACCCGCGCACCCCTCGGCCTGCGCGCTGGGACCTGGGCGGGGAAGCCAACCGCAGGCGGATGTCCAGCGGCACCCCTTAGGGGGGCTCACGGAGCAATGCCTCAAACCCCTCCGCTTCAAAAATGATGTCTGCTGAGCTGAGAAGCCAAAAACCAGACTCAGCATGCTCACGCAGGCAAATCTTCAGCTAACTTCCAGTCGGCTTGAAGCCTGAACAGAAAGGTCCCGCATGCACCGCAGACGCAGCGGGCGTGGTCGTCATCACGCCGGCCTCCGGCCACCGCTGGCGCGGACAACAGAGGGATGCCGCCAATGCCGATTCACCCCCGCCCAGCCCTTTTAAGCACGTGTGTGCGCAGCGAGATTCTCATGGGCATCTGTGCGCGCAGCCTTAAGTTGGCCCGCGCGGCCTGTGTACGGCGGTCGAGCACTTTGATGTTCGAGCAGGAACCGACCGTCCTGGCAGAAAACAAATGCTATAGAACATGAAGCCGATGTGCTATGTGTTGACACAAGTCGCCCCAACCAGAACCGTCCTAACATCTCGTGCAAACCACATGAGGTTATTGGAACATTCTTCGGTGGTCCCATAGGCAAGCCAGGACTAGGCAAGCCAGAACGCCTCGCCACTGCTTGGGATTTGAGTCCGCTCGCTCTCGAGCCGCAGACGCTGCGCTTCAAGCTGGCCCTCCGTCAGGGGACCGACGGAAGTGGACGACGTTGGCTCCTGTCCGCCGTTGGGTGCCTGCAGCCTCGTTTTCTTATGGCAGGCGGCTGGGAGCGAGGTTGGTGCACGACGATGGGAATCCACAAGCCTCCGGCGTAACACGTGAACCCGTCGGCGTTCTCCTCCCCCCCTCCTCTTCCCCCTCTTCCTCCTCCTCCTCATCCTCCTCCTCCACGTCCTCCTCCTTCCCTTCCCTTCCTCCTCCTCCTCCTCCTCCTCCTCCTCCTCCTCCTCCTCCTCCTCCTCCTCCTCCTCCTCCACCGCCTCCTCCTCCCCGTACCCCAATTCCTCCTCCTCCTCCTCCTGCTCCTCCTCCTCCTCCTCCTCCTCTTCCTCCTCCTCCTTTCCCTCCTCCTGCTCCTGCTCCTGCTCCTGCTCCTCCTCCTCTCCTCCACCCCCTCCTCCCCGTCCTTCTGCTACTCCTCCTGCTCCTCCTCTTCCTCCTCATGCTCCTCCTCCTCCTCCATTCCTATTCCTTGTGCTTCTCCCTGTCGCAGCCCGAAGCCAGTTTTGATGGCGGGCCGGGCGTTTCCCCTGAGACTTCCTCACCATGTATGACCCTGAAGCTTAGACGTTGGCAACAGATTTTCAGATGGAGAGCAGATTATTTTCAAGATGTGGCTCTCGTCTTAGCGCTGCGCACACGTGCAAGAATTTCGCATATTGAAATCGAATGTTTTTCAACATGTGGTTCTCGCCTTAGCGCCGCGCGCATTCGTATTCAATCGCAAGAATTCCACGGATTGAGGGCGGGCCCCTTTCAAAGCGAGGCTCTCCCCCTAGCGCCGCGCACGTTCGATTTTAAAATTTGCACGAGTTTCACGGATTCCCATGAACAGCGTGCCAAACATAAAGTTTTGGAAGGATTCAGGATTATGAGGGTGCGACAGTTACGTTGGTTCGCAGCGTTGACGTCCCAAGAATGGCGTTCTGGTGCCATCCAGGATCGCCAAGGCGCAACAAGAAGGTTAATCCGGCGTTGGAATCCCGAGAACGATGTTTTGGCATGCTTCAGGGTCTTCAAACGGTTGTCGTCCGACGAGGCAATTCCCTCAGTGGAAATAAACTGTTGAAGTGGCCTATGAAGAGGGAGCTTGGAGGGAGGGTTTAGTCCAACGTCGTTGATGACTCTTGGGTTTACAGTGGTCCTCCTCCTCCTCCTCTTCCCCCTCCTCCTCCCTCTCCTCCTCCTCCTCCTGCTGCTCCTCCTCCTCCTCATCCTCCTCCTCCTCCTCCTCCTCCTCCTCCTCCTCCTCCTCCCCCTCACCCTTGACCCCGTCCAAGCGGTTATTCCTCGGACGGCCGACATCTGGTGGCTGCAGAGCTCGACGCGGCGCTCTGACCACCCGAGAGTGCGACGCCCACGGCCACTGACCTGAAACATGTACCCTGCGGGGGGTCCCACGCGCCGCCCCCCACCCCCTCCCGCGAGAACGCCCACCCACCCCCGCCACCCCCTAGGGGGGGAGGAGTTTGAACCTCCCTCCTTCGAGGAGGTGTCGGCGCCGTCGCCGTCGCCGTCGCCGTGGCCGTCGTTGTCGCCTTCGTCGTTGTCGCCGTTGTCCATCGCCCGTCGTCAGACGTACGTCGTTGTCGACCGTCGTCCGTCGTCGTCGCCGTCGTCGGTCTTCAGTCGTTAATCGTCGGTCATCGTCCGTCGTAATCGTCCATATCCATCGCCGTCGTCGTCGTCTTCGACGTCCGTCGTCGTGGTCGTAGTCGTCCGCTGTCGTTGTCTTCGTCTGTCGTCCGTCGTCGGTCATCCATCGTTGTCCGTCGTGTGTCGTCCGTCATCGTCCGCCGTCGTCCGCGTCAGCGTCGTCGTCATCGTCGTCCATCGTCCGTAGTCGTCCGTCGTTACTTGTCGTCATTGACAATTGTCCGTCGTCCGTCGTACGTTGTGATCGTCGTCATCGGTCGTGTGTCGTCGATGTCGTCGTCGTTGTTCGTCGTCCGTCGTTTGTCGTCTTTCGTGCGTCGTCGACGTTGACTGTCGTCCGTCGTCATCGGCGTTGTCGTTGCCGTCGTCGTCGTTGTCGTGGTCGTGGTCGTGGTCGTCGTCGCCGAAGCCGTTGTCGTCGTGGTCGTGGTCGTGGTCGTCGTCGCCGTCGACCTTTGTCTGTCACCCGTCGTCATCGACGTCGCCGTCGTCGCCGTCGTCGCCTCCGTCGTCGTCGGTCGTGGGTCCTGGGTAGTCGGCCGACGTCGTCGTCGCCCGTGTCCAGCGTCGTCGTCGTCGCCCGTCGTCGTCGTCGTGGTCGTCGTCGTCGTGGTCGTCGTCGCCCCTTGTCGTCGTTTTCGTCCGTCGTCCGTCATCCGTCGTCGTCCGTCGTCTGGCATCCGTCCGTCGTCCGTCGTCCGTCGTCCGTCGTCCGTCGTCGGTTACGGTCGTCGTCGTCGTCGTCGTCGTCATCGTCGTCGTCGTAGTCTGTGCTCATCGTCGTCGTTGTCATCGTCCTCCTCCTTCGGCGGTGCTCACAGTCATGCTTTGCCAGCAACGCATCAGATTTGGGGGGGAGGGGTTCTGAACCTCCCCTCCCCCTTACCCCCCCACCTCCCGCGCGTTGCGTCTTGGGCCTTGGGGGGGCGGGGAGGGGAGCTAATAACATCCCCCTTGCCAATGCATGCAAACGTCGCTCTTCCAGAAGCCCCAGACGCCCGGAGCCATCGGCAGCCGCGATTGGCTCAAGACGCCTGCGGCCTGGGTCTGGGGACACCGGGCGCACGGGCCGCTGGCAGGCGTGCGCCGCCATGCGCGAGGGGCGCAGCAGACCAGAGAGGGAGAGAGAGAGAGTACTACAGTCGAAATGCTGTCACAAGGAACCCCACATCGGGAACGACGCCTCCTGTTTCCCATGAAAGTCAACTTCGATTTCCCATAGAAGACCTAAAGACAACCTCAGACGGACTGCGAAACAATTCAGGAACACGGAGCCCCTCCCCAACGAAAAAGGTTCCGTCTTCAGCGGCTTCGCTGTAGGGTGTGTTGATCTGCCGACGTCGGACGCGAACTGTTTGACGGAATGCGCGTTCCACACCCGAACTCCATCGAAAACCTGCCACCAAGCTCTGTCTCCCCGACGCTGCGAGGAGGAGCACAGAGCAGAGAACGCCAGTCGCCAAGGCCGTCCACGGCAGCAGCGCAGCTGAAGGTCGCAGACCGAGCCGACAACGAAACCGACACCGACCGAGACCGAATCTGCCGCAAGCGGCCGAGAGGGATCGAAGGGCTACCGTCGCCAGATCCCCGCGCATGTCGCTTCTGTTGTCGTCGTCGTCGTCTCTGTCGTCGTCGTCGTCGATGCCGTCGTTGTCGTCGATGCCGTCGTCGTCGATGCCGTCGTCGTCGTCGTCGTCGTCGTCGTCGTCGTCGTCGTCGTCGTCGTCGTCGTCGTCGTCGTCTCTGTCGCCGTCGTCGTCGATGCCGTCGTCACGGCGCGGCGCACCAAAGCTGGATGAACAGACCCTCTCAGAGGTGCGCGCGGGCTTCCTGGATCGACGCTGGACCCCCTGTCCCCGGCGAGCAGAGCGCGCCAGGGGCGGCGCCAGGGGCCGATCCAAAAGTTGATCCAAGGCGGACCAGCGCCGATCCAAGAAATCCGCGCAGAGCTCCAGAAGTGGATTCCCAAGCCGGTTCTGTCTCTTACTCGAGGGAAGGGGGGAGCTCGAGGGTCGGGAGGAGAAGGAAGGGGAGGAAGGCATTGTTTTTTACCTTGCTCCGATGGGCACGCCCTGACAAGCATGTTCGTGTCCCGCGGACCCCCGGACGAAGTTTATGTTTCCATGCCGGACCCGCCCCTTCAGTTTTCGAAGGGCCGCCCCGTAGGCCTCCCGCCGCCTCGCCGCGGGGGAACGCTTGGGGAACCCGCTCGGGTGGACCCGTTCAGGGGGGGTAAGCATCGACTTGGACTCGGCGATGTATCGCCGACATATTGGCGGCATGTCGCCCGCTAGCGGATCCGCGTCCTGGGCGGGGCGGACAGTCGGGCCCTCACAGCCGTCCCGCATCATGAGGACGCACGATGAGGATGCAAGGGCCTGGGAAAAAAGGCCATGTCGACGCGTCGCTTGTGGAGGCCGGCCCGCGAAAGCAGCCGAGGATGGGCCGAGGAGGCAAGGATGCAAGGGGTAGCCTTGGGAAGGCCGCCCCTCCTTACCATGCGGGTGGACTGTAGGGGCCATCGGTGGGCGACGGGGGCCGCTGTGCCCCCACCCGTGAGACGATCCCCCCCTGCGTGACGTTGCCCTCTGGGCTTCACGCCATCGCTCGAAGCTGCGGCGGCCGTGCGGACCGAGCCACGCGCCCCCAGGGCGCTAGGGCCCTCTCGGCGGGGCGCGGCGGGGGAACACTCCGAGGACGATAATCCGCCGACGAAGACGCCAGCAACAGTCTCGGGCCCGATCAGGGGGGGGGTCTCCCTCCCCCTCCTCCTCCTCCTCCTCCTCCTCCTCCTCGTCCTCGTCCTCCTCCTCCTCCTCCTCTTCCACCTCCTTTTTGTTCCTCCTCCTCCTCCTTTTCCTTGGGGTCCAACGTTCGTCTATTGCTGTATAACGTGTCGTGAGGCAAACGTTGAAAAGGCAGATTCAGCCCATCTGTGCAAGCGCGGTTTGGCGAAAACGGCCGGCATCAACGCAACGCCGAGGAGCGTCGTGGACTCGAGCTTTTGGCCAGGGCGCACGTCGCGCAAGACGACCCTGATCGCGTCCTTCTGCAAACGCCACTTCTGTTCTAGGGTGTTGCACGGGCACGCAACACACCGCCCGCATGAGCGTCACCTGGAGCCCGCGTCGCCCTCATGCGCCCTCCCCCTCCTCCTCCGAGTACTCCCACTCAACTTGCCTCATCGTCATCATGCCCAGCCGATTCCTCCCCTGCCTCATCATGCCCCTCATCTTCATTAGCACGTCCCCATCTGCCACTGCATGGCGTCCCTCCTCGCCCTCCTCCGCCCGACGCGCCCCCACTCGCCCGCGTCCTCGCCATCCCCCCCCCCGGCCCCGACGGCAATGAGCAATTCATCCCCCCCCTCCTTCGACCACCCCCCCGCTTTCCTCGTCCTCGTGATGCTGATACCGATGATGCAGCTATTTCTGGGCCCATGTCACCCCTCTCCTCCTCCCCCTTTCATCCCCCAGCCCCGTCGCCACCCCTTCACTCGCACCATTTCCCTCCCACAGCGCATCATCCCCAAACACCCACGCCGTTTGCCTTCCCAAACCACGGCCCCCTCCGTGACCAGCCGGGAGATCCGCCAAAACTCTCACCCAGTGACCACTCCAGCGAATAGCTCGCAACACGTGCACAGTTGGACACACGGAATGTGTATTTCGCCGGCAAAAAATCTCGGGCCCAATCGGGGCGGAGGGCTGCGAGAAGCCCACCTGCCCTTTCAGAGGTCCCGCGCCCCTCGTGCCTACCCCCGATGAACCTCCTCCTCCTCCTTTTCCTCCCCCTCCTTCTCCTCCTCCTCCTCCTCCTTTTCCTCCTCCTCCTTCTCCTCCTCCTCGAGAGTTGAAGAATGGCATAAACATAACAAAGCGGAGATTATCTTCCTCCTCCTCCACCTCTTCCTCCTCCTCCTCCTCCTCTTCCTCCTCCTGCTCACCCTACCCCTTGCCTGTGGGCCCTTCTACAGCGGTCCTCATCGTCTTTCCCAGACTTTCGAGGGAACTGCCGCCGAGGAGTGGCGCGACGTTCCCCCATTGACTCTGTGGATGAGGCTCCCTGCTTGTGAGGGCGTGCCCGTCGGAGCAAGGTCGAAACGAATACCATCCTCCCCCTCCCTCTCCCCCCCTCATCTGGAAGAGAGCAAGGTCGAAACAAATACCACCCTCCCCCTCCCTCTCCCCCCCTCATCGATCATCCCCCTCACCTGGAAGAAGAGAACAACGGCGCAACACACACATGTTTGGAGCTCCGTGCCGAGCTCCACCAGCTTATGCTTACGCATCCCATTGGATCGTCTTCGCATCCCCCTGCGCAGCCCCGAAAAAACGCCCCGGTCCGATCCACCCCTAAAATTGGCGGCGTGGCACCGGGCAGCAACACCATCCCAAGGGGCTGCCTCCACCAGGGGAAGATGATCCTGCATTCCGGTGCTGGTGGCAATCTTTCGGCCACCTCGTAGGAAGCCCGAACATTACCACCACCACCGATATCGGGAGCGTCCTCCCCCGGTGGAGGCACGCCGCCGACATCAAAGGGGCCCCAGGACACACAAATAAATACACACAAATAAAATGATTCCCCATATTTTCTGGGTTCCTGTCTTCCCCCCCACTTCCAATAGTTTCCCATACTTGTCCTGGGAGTCGACGATGGATCGTGTCTGTGTGCTTCTTTCCCTCCCGAGACATTAGCGCTGGTGTCGACCTCTGCGCCCCCGGCCTGCAGCGCTGCCCCCCTGCGAGCCCCGCGGCAGCTCCGCTGCAGCTCCGTGGCGCACCCGCCGCTCCCGGCGGCGCAGGAGAGCAGGGCGCCCAGGAGGCAGGCCGCGCCGAGGCCCAGGAGGGCCACGCCCACGGCCTGAGGAGGGGCGACGACGACGACGACGACGGTGACAAAAAACACACACAAAAAAAACACAAACAGTGGGAAAAACAAACACACACACAGTGGAAAAAAACACTGTGTTTTTGTTTTCCCACGTGTGTGTTTTTTCCCACAGACGACGACGACGAGGGCCACGCCCACGGCCTGGGGAGGGGGGGCGACGACGACGAGGACGGGGACAGCGACGGCGGCAGGACCACGACCACGTCGACGAGGGCCACGCCCACGGCCTGAGGAGGGGCGACGACGACGATGACGAGGACGGTGACAGCGACGGCGGCAGGACCACGACCACGTCGACGAGGGCTCCCACGCCCACGGCCCAGGCGATCGCGGCCGAGCTTCTTTCGGACGTGCTCGTCGGCTGGCAGAGGAGTTCCAGCCCAGAGAGGCTTTCCAGCAGCTGCGCCTCGCCGAGAGCGCTCCCAGAGTGCCCGAATCACTCCGAGCGGATGCCGGAGACCCGAATGTTGACCTGAGAACCGAGCGACGAGGGGCGGCGAGGGCGATGACGACAGCGATGGGGACAGCGGAGGAGAACAGCGATGACGGCCAGAGGGAGGAAGACGACGAGGACGAGGATGCTTTGCTC